CTTCAATGAATTACTTGAGGCAATTTATTTTATAAAGAGATAAGGTTTATTTTTATTCCAGATTTTGGAGATTAGGTAGCTCCATTTGCTTGGGCCTTGTGTATATGTGTGTGTGTGTGTGTGTGTGTCATGGACCAAAACACATTATGATCCATGGAGCAGAGAAAGATACTGAAGATCAGGGTCCTATAATCCTCTTGTGGGCAAATCCCTAGTGACTCAAGGCCTTCCCACTATACCTGACTCCCCAAAGGATCCACCCCTTTAACACAGAAAATCACAGGGATCCTACCCATGCTCAAAGCATCACAGGTTACTATGAAGAAAGATAACATGACTGGGTGAATTTTGAGTGGATGCACTTGCCTCTCTTTTCTCTCCTGTAGGTACCCCTTGTCAGGTACCCTGCCCTCAACCTACATCCTGGCTCTGGTTACCTTTGGCACAATTGTTAAAGCTAGCAGATTAGTTTTGGTATCCTTCACCTCCACCTGCTGCCTCTGTTACCCCTTTCTCCTTTGGTGGGTCAGCCTTTCTTCTCTTTCCTACTCTCCTGTACTTACTGATGGGTTCCCAGATCCCTTCAATGCTATTCTATTGTTGTCAGGTTGCACGTTAGGAGAGGATGGGAAATTGCTGCAACATGATGATGGGTGATGTTGTTCTGTATGCTGTGAATATGTGTTGCTCTGATTGGTTCATAAATAAAGCTGTTTGGCCAATGGTGCGGCAGAATAAGGATAGGCAGGACATTCTAACTAGAGAGAGAGGAAAGAGAAAGACAGAGAGGAGACTCTGCTAGCTGCCACCAGGAGAAGCAAGATGTAAGAGTACCGGTAAGCCACAAGTCATGTGACAAAGTATAGATTTATAGAAATGGGTTAATTTAAGATGTAAGAGCTAGCTAGTGAGAAGCTCGAGCCATTAGGCCATATCATTTGTAAATAATATAAGCCTCTGTGTGTTTATTTGGGTCCAAGAAGCTGTGGGACCTGACTTCGGGCCAGGCGGGACACAGGAAAACTTCTGGGTGCAACATGATAAGGAAATGACTGAAGATTCACTGCTTTGAGGGCCTGCTCTTCAGCTAATTAGATGAAATACTTTCATGGGACTTGCTATTCAGGCATCTTGCTGGCTGGAGGTAAAGTTGGGGACAGGGGCAGGGTGGGGTACTTTAATTCTTTCCTATTAGATTTTGAGGTCAATCACAGCAGGTGGTATTTTTCTATGCTCATTTGTTATTGCACTTAGTGCTACATCTCCCAGACATTAATGATAGGAGGCTATCAAATATCATCTTTCAGTGGCAAGCAAGCAAGATCACTTTGCCTATTTGCAAGATGCATCTTAAGTAAAAAACAGCATCCCCAAGCAGAATTATGTTGCCAAGAGCATTATCCAGGTCTTTGGCTTGTGGTTAAATTTCAGTGTAAAGGTCCAGCTGAGCATTATGGGCAACAATGTACTCCTGGTTCTGCTTCCACCATAGTATAAGAATGGGCAGAAGAAACCCATCCCTCCCCCTTAACATAAGTAGCTTCTCCTTAAATGCACTTTTACATTGACAAATGGATCTTTGTCAATAAAGAGTTAATTTCTCCCATCCCATTTTATTTTTTCAGTTTAAATTTATTTTTAACACTAGAGTTATTTTTTCTCCCTATTCTTCTCTAAATTATAATTACTAATGCATATTAATTATACATATTAGTAGACTTAACTGTGCCATTTACATACATACATATATAGTGCTTTATAATCCTGCTCCATTTCAACCTCTGGTGGCAAGGAAAGGAAGAGATAATGCTAGTTTTAGTTTATATTTTGCATGGAGACTGATGACTTTCAGATTTTTTTCTGGTTCTTGCAGTCTTGAGTCTGGATTCAAGTTAATCTGTGTACTCAAAAATTCTATTCTAGGATTCTAATTTCTAAGGCTTGATTTAGTTGTAGAGGCAGACATTCAGAGACTCAAACAATTTGAATTCTATCCCCTTCAAATTCCTCATCATGCCTGTCTGAAAACTTCTAGGTTATTTAAGAGATAATAACATTGACCACTGTGAAAATTCCTGCTTCTAAAAATTACTGAAGTCCCAGAGAGACATGTAAATAAGAACTGGAATTCATCATGCTCAGTGAAATAAGCCAGATTCAGAAACACAAACTGTATATTTTACTTATGTGCAGAGTCTAGATGGTACATCAAAATACTTTTAAGATATTTAAGTATGGTAGGAAGTATGAGTCTAAAGGGAGAGAGAAGAGGAGAATAAGACAGACTAATAGGGTGAGACTGAGACAAGATGTTTTTCACACATGAAATCTAAATATTTTCCTGCTGTGGGATGTTCTGTATGGCAAATGTGTTGCTGATTGGTCAGTAAATAAAACACTGATTGGTCATTGGCTAGTCAGGAAGTATAGGCGGGACAAGGAGGAGAATAAAGCTGGGAAGTGGAAGGCTGAGTCAGAGAGACACTGCCATCCGCCATGATGAGAAACAGCATGTGAAGATGCCGGTAAGCCACGAGCCATGTGGCAAGGTATAGATTAACGGAAATGGATTAATTTAAGCTGTAAGAACAGTTAGCAAGAAGCCTGCCACGGCCATACAGTTTGTAACCAATATAAGTGTCTGTGTTTACTTGGTCGGGTCTGAGTGGCTGTGGGACTGGTGGGTGTCAGAGATTTGTCCTGACTGTGGGCCAGGCAGGAAAACTCTAGCTACATTTTCCCCTTCTGTCTTTCTATGTGTGTGTGTGTGTGTGTGTGTGTGTGTGTGTGTGTGTGTGTGTGAGAGAGAGAGAGAGAGAGAGAGAGAGAGAGAGAGAGAGAGAGAGAGAGAGAGAGAGAGAGAGAGAGAGAGAGAGGAAAGCAGAATGGGTCTGATTGTGGGGAAGGGAAAAACAAGTGAGGGGGAGGGGTGACTTTTCTACACTAAGTGAAAAAAAAAAAACGAAACAAAACTAAAAAGACATGTACATCCATGAAGGGTTTCCTTGATTCTTAAAAGAAGGCAAATTATATTGTCTTTAGATAATTAAAATTAGGTATCTGTTTTTAATCACTCCTTTATTTACTCCTGCTGGATGCTGAGCTTAGCACCTCAATTACAACAGAGAACCATGGAGATGAAGATTATACCCTCTGGTCCCTGGAGTATCTATTAATTTTCTTCTGCCTTGGTAGAAAAACTTGAAAAGCACCACCACTGAGTACCTGGACACTCTCTAAAGAAGCAAACTGGCTTGAGGTTATTCCTTAAATGAAAGGCGTGGCTGTTAAGCTTACCCCCTGCCCCCAGCATAACAGCAGCTGTAACTTGGTAGATTGGGCCTGTTGATTGTTGATGATCCTTCCTAAAAGGACAGAGTGGGGGAAGGTCTTTTGGACTCTCACCTGAAATTTTAGCCATTTCCCTCTTGAAAATCCTAGACAGCTATACCTAATTCTTCCCCAATTACACATGGTCTTGTGGTTGCAGGAGGTGCTAGAGTATATAGAGTGTAGAGGGTTAACCGATAAGGAGGACTTAGTTGATGCAACTGTGGGGTAGTAATCATCCATGCTGGGGTGAGAACTTTTGGTGCTGCAGCTGCTTTTGAGTCACCCACACTTTGGTAAGTAACCTTTCACCCATGCTCTGTAAGTAATTCCAATAAACTCATTGGTTCCCCAAGTTGGAATTTGGTAGATTCTGTACTTTGATCTGTCACTGATGCTCTCTGGGGTAGGTGTCAGCTTACACACCCTCAGGAAAGAGTTCCTACCCCAGTGTTTGTGAAGGGTAAAGTTTAGATGCAACAGACCATCATCATTTGGAATAATTAAAGTAAAAAGAGTTTCTGTTGGTAAGCAGCCATATTTTTAGAGAAGTATATTTAATTTTCCTCAGCTGTGTAATACATTAACCTTTGAAAGAATATGGATAGGTAAATATCCTGAAATATGTGTGAATAAACAATTAGTTTATTAATATATGTATATATTTTTTGAGACAGGGTCTCATTATGTAGCCCCGGCTAACCTGGAATTTACTTGTTGATAGACATTACTGTCTTGAAACTCAGAGAGATCCTCCTGAGGGCTGGCATTGAAGGTGAACACCACCACACCTGGCTTTATCATTTTTATAATTATATTTGGTATAGAAAGTATTTAAAATAGAAAAATGCTTTTAAAAGCAGGTTCATGATTCCAGAATTCAGAGACAATTGGTTTGGTACTAGACCACATTCTTTACCTAGTCATGGAAGTCAACTGAATATTAGAATTCGGAATGTTTCAGGTTTTTGTAAAGTAATCCAATGTATGTATTTATGATGTCCTTAGAGAAATGCAAGGCAGTGCTTCATAATCACAGAGAATAATATATCAGCAACAAAATGTGTAAATATTCACTCTATGCAAGATAAACAAAGGCTATAAATGTCACAATTGTTCATGTCAGACTTTTGATACGAAATGAGTTATAAAATTTTTTTCATTACAGAGGCCTTTGTACTTCATAATTGAATACGAATTTTTGTAAACTTACATTTTAACACAAGGCTTAGGTGATTTTCCCAGCACTCATTGTATGCTAGGCATCATGGAAGGAGTTTAGCTTTGCATGCTTGATATTGGTATTCTGAGGGATTGGGGTCCTGCGGCTTCAAAAGTGCCTGCTACCAAGGCGATACTGCAGATAAGGATTTATCCATTTCTACCCTGGTTGTCTGGCTGTTTACAGCTTTGGCCTAAGTTTTGGCCCTGGACTTTGACTCATGCATTTATTAACGTAGATCTGTAGTCCCAGGCTGGGGATGGCCCTACATTTCATCCTAGCTCTGCCCTCAATTCTCCTTAGCTCAAAGGCCAGATGTGGCAGCCTGGCCATGTTCTCTAAGCAAACAAATCCCATCCTATCTCTGGTTCTGCTTTTGAGAATCTATTTTAGCGCTGACATTTCATGGGGACTTCTGCCCTGCCCTACTTGGTCAAGTTAAGACAAGCTTGACCCGAGAAATGGTTGAGAAGAAAATAAATAAAGGCGAAGGTTAAATACACGCAGCACCAGTGCAGATTGAAGAGATGCCTTGAGAGGCAAGTAAGAAAAATTAAGTAAGTAAATAACAGAACATTGTGAATCATTGCTTTTTAACTTGATGGCTGCCTGTCTGTGCCTCTTACTGTGCCTATGCTCCAGCTTTCTGCATTCTGCCAGATAATGAATGTTTTGCAGAAGGAAATGTCAGAAGTCTTTCTTCTATACAAACCAAGAAGTGGATTTGGTGAAATGATAACTAATGGATGAAAAAATATTGAAAACCTGTAATTACCTATGATAAACAATATGGTATGCTTTCTTTTCTTTGTTCTGAATCTGCTGCTGCGTTATGTAATGCAATATTTCAGGCAGGCACTGCTTTTCAATTATATGGCTCATGCTAAAGTTCCTGCTGACAGGGAGAATGAAAGCATATTTTGGTTATTATGTTTTGCTTCCCTTCCTCATGGAATCCAAATGCCTATATGCTAATGTAAGCCCCGATGACAGGAAGTCCAAGTGAAATGTTATTAGAAAGCTATGAATATGTAGTTAATGAAATATGTATGATTACAATATTGCAGGACATGTGTAATATTGATGGAAACTCAACTGATCTCAATATTTAATAAAGACTTAATTTAAAATATGGATATTTGAGGGAGTGGGTTGTTTTATGCTTGCTGCAAATGCAGCATATGTTAATTTATTGCTGAGAATTTGTCTGGTGGATTCAATTTCCTCCTGTAATTTCTCATTTTGAGTTTTCCTTTTTTGGAAGCATGCTTCTGCATGCCCGTCTGAACTCACTACTTCTGAGTGTCCTAGGGTGATAGAAACATGAAGTACATGGTTTAAGGCATTCTAGAGCAGATAAACTGGCCAGTAATGATCTCCTATAGTCAGTTTTAATTGGTGTTTTTGCAAGTGTTGGGGAATGTGGGTCAATAACATAGCTTTTGATACTAATTTTAAGCCTCGGTGTTTAGTCTAAGCATTGGTTAAAGTGGTGGTCCAGGAAGTGGACTTAACACAGCCTGCAATTGCCTGTGTAGTTATCAGAAAATGTACTTGCAGGTTGGTTGAGCTCAGGTCTTTTTATGAATGCCAAGAAAATGACAGCCTATATAGATCATTAATAACTGAGCAGCAGAGGGTCACAGAAAGACAAATGGAAACTGCCATCCATCAAAAATCCTGTCTCCTTGGATTTATAAGAGTATTTTATTGTCATTTTTATTTTAACTGTTCATCCCTTTGATAATTCATACAACTTAAAACAAAAATGTTATTTTGTGTCCTTGTTTTGCTGAATGTTTCCACATGTGTAAGGTTTTTCCTCACTAAGTTCCTTGTGTTGAGACACTTGTATTCATACTTTTGAGTGGAGGAAAGTGAGTCACAGGAAGGTTATACAACTTGCCCAAGGTCATGCATAAAACTAGGAAATGGAAGAACTAAGAGTCTGAAGTAGGTTTATCTGTGCAAAAACAGAATTTGAAAAATGATTAGGTTCTCAGGAGTGCAGTATAAAATGACATACAGCGAGAAAAATAGAAGAAACAATTTAGGAATCAGTTACGTTTTATTTTCAAGATTTATTTAAGCTTTTTCGACTATTTCCCTGAGACTGATCCTTGGACAAGAATGGAAAATGTGGACGACTTGACAAGGACTATATCTATGCTGCTGGAGAACCAACTTCAAATATATATCCTATTAATAACCAGTAAAGAAGAGCATATCACGACAATTAGGGTGTTTGGCCATCCTATCACCAGAGTAGGTCAGTTCGGGGTGTCTCTCGACTATTGCCAGCAGTCTATTGTGGGGGCATCTTTGTGGATTTCTGTGGGCCTCTCTAGCACTTTGCTTCTTCCTATTCTCATGTGGTCTTCATTTACCATGGTCTCCTATTCCTTGTTCCCCCTCTCTGTTCTTGATCTAGCTGGGATCTCCCACTTCCCCAAGCTCTCTTTCCCTCGACCCTCGCCTTTCATTACCCCCACTCACGTCCAGGCTGTTCATGTAGATCTCATCCATTTCTCCATCATTGGGCAATCCTGTGTCTTTCTTGGGGTCCTGTTTTCCAGTTAGCCTCTCTGGTGTTGTGAGTAGCAGTCCAGTCATCCTTGTTCCACATCTAGTATCTTCCTATGAGTGAGTACATACCATGTTTGTCTTTCTGAGTCTGGGTTACCTCACTCAGGATGATTTTTTCTAGATCCATCCATTTGCCTGCAAACCTCATGATGTCATTGTTTTTCTCTGCTGAGTAGTATTCCATTGTGTATATGTACCACATTTTATTTATCCATTCTTCAGTTGAAGGGTATCTAGGTTGTTTCCAGGTTCTGGCTATTACAAACAATGCTGATGTGAACATAGCTAAGCAAGTGCCCTTGTGGTATGATTGAGCATTCCTTGGGTATATGCCCAAGAGTGGTATAGCTGGGTCTTGGGGGAGGTTGATTCCCAATTTTCTAAGAAAGCACCATATTGATTTCCAAAGTGGTTGTACAAGCTTGCATTCCCACCAGCAGTGGAGGAGAGTTCCCCTAGCTCCACATCCTCTCCAGCATAAGGTGTCTTCAGTGTTTTTGATCTTAGCCATTCTGACAGGCGTAAGGTGGTATCTCAGAGTTGTTTTGATTTGCATTTCCCTGATGATTAGGGATGTTGAGCAATTCCTTAAATGTCTTTCAGCCATTTGAGTTTCCTCTGTTGAGAATTCTCTGTTTAGTTCTATAGCCCATTTCTTAACTGGACTGTTGGGCATTTTGATGTCTAATTTCTTGAGTTCCTTATATATTCTGGATATCAGTCCTCTGTCAGATGTGGGGTTAGTGAAGACCTTTTCCCATTCTGTAGGCTGTCACTTTGCCTTGTTGACCCTGATTGTTGTGCTAGAAACCCCATCCAATGAATGAGGGAACTGGATGCAGAGATCCACGGCCAGGCCCTGGGTGGAGCTCTGGGAGTCCAATTGGTGAGAAAGAGGAGGGTTTATATGCGCGAGAATTGTTGAGACCAAGGTTGGAAAAAGCACAGGGACAAATAGCCAAATGAATGGAAACACATGAGCTATGAACCAATGGTTGAGGGGCCCCCAACTGGATCAGGCCCTCTGAATAGGTGAGAGAGTCTTGTGCTCAGTGCATGAGTTGGCTGTTTGAGACCTGGGGCTTATGCAGGGACGCTTGGCTTGACCTGGGAGGAGGGGACTGGACCTGCCTGGACTGAGTCTACCAGGTTGATCTCAATCCTCGGGGGAGTCTTTGCCCTGGAGGAGATGGGAATGGGGGGTGGGCTGGGGAGAAGGGGAGGGTGGTGGGAGGGGGGAAGAACAAGGGAATCCGTGGCTGATATGTAGAATTAAATTATATATATAAAAAAGAAGAGCATATCGAGATACATAACATTGTGCTGTATTGATAACATTAGTCTGATTTTGCTTAGGGTGAAAGAGTATGAGTTTCTGCTCAAGCACTCTACTTCCATGCATGAGAGAGTGTGATGGCAAGACGAGTCTGTCAATAAGTATGTTGTTTCCTCCTTCCCATGTGTTGTATGGGAATTCCTTGAAAGGTTAGGTTGTGGTGACCTATCTACCATGATCAACTCTGGCTAAACCAAGGGAGGGATACTGGTGCAAAGAAGGCCCTAAAAGTTAAGGGCTTTATATCTGATGCCAGGTGTCTTGTGTTGGAATACCAACTCTTCTTCGAATTAAGTAAGGTTTTTAAAACTTAGCTTGCTCCCTTTGAAAATAGAGACAAGAAGTGCTTTCTTGATTGGAATATTTAGAGGATTGTAAATATTTTGGGTAGTATCTGGCTCACAGTAATTCCTCAATAAAGATTAAGCATTGGCCATTATTCCTATCAGCTAAAGTGCTGGCCCAAATTGGAATACATGATTTTTTAAAAAGAAGCATTGATCTAATCTTATCAAGACCATTTATTATCCCAGCACTCTGGAGGTTAAAGGAAGAGGATCTTGGGTTTCTGGTCAGCCTGGGCTACATAGTGAAACCCTGTATACGTTCTCTTCAAAATTTTTTTTTTTTTGGTTTTTTGAGACAGGGTTTCTCTGTGTAGCTTTGTGCCTTTTCCTGGAACTCACTTGGTAGCCCAGGCTGGCCTCAAACTCACAGAGATCCGCCTGGCTCTGCCTCCCGAATGCTGGGATTAAAGGCATGCGCCACCACCGCCCGGCCAAAATATTTTGTGAGAAAATATCTACCTATTTTGAAAAACCTAGTCAGTAACATGACCATGTTGGCTTCTTTCTTTATTTTTTAAAATTTTGTATAAGTACATATGTACACGCATGTGCGTGCGTGTGTGTGTGTGTGTGTGTGTGTGTGTGTGTGTGTGTGTGTGTGTGCGCGCACACACACACACGTGTGGATGTGCATGTGTGTGTACATGCCATGCCATGCCTATGATGGTCAGGGGAGAACTTCTGGGACTCCTATGATGTGTGTTCTGGGGATGAAATTCAGGTCATCAGGCTTGGTGGAGAGCACCTTTATTCACTAAGCCATCTCACTGACTCTATCTTTCCTATTTTGATAGTCCTTTCTCTCAATTTGTATGTAGTTTGAATACTCGGTGATACATCAGTTTTATATTGGAATTTATGATAAATATGTTCCTTAAATAGACTCAGGTGGAAATAGGTTTTCTTAGAAGTACAGTAACATGCATAGAGAAGGAAATTAACCAAAGATTATTTTAATTTGCTGGTTTATGTAAGTTTGTCATTTTAACTATTAGAGGTTTTAATACTAGTAAGTCAGGTAATGGTAACAAGAAAACAACTGCTGTTGTCATAGATTAAATAATGATAGTATAGTCACTCTACTGTGAAGGTTATTTTTGTATCAGGTTTCATTGTACTAGCCTGTCTTGATTTATGTCTGGAACCAACTGACCCTGGCTCTGGCCCCTCTCTGCCCACATAGTAGTTTTAAGCACATCCTTTGGGAAAAAAGAGCCTGCCAGCATATTTATGGAACTCCCCAGGGGTTAACTTATATGAACTCTGAATTAGTTGGTCCGCCACCCCT